TGTGAATTATATTATTTTGTTTAATTGGGTCAACCGACAGGGTGCTTTAACCTACAGATCTTGTCCTGTCTGAGTGAGTATGTAGGTTTGAATGCCACCCCAATTCCTGCGTTATTAATAATCCTACTTGGGGAGGGTCTCAGATGTCCCCTCCTTATGTGGTATTACTGTGGATGACTGATATTCTCTCTCTCTCCATAATGGAGTTTCACTAATTTCTATCAATGGGAGAAATCTAAAGGAATTCACTTCCTCCCGTGATCTAGACGGTATTGTCTAAACTATAAGTGGCACGGATGACAATCATCTCAATGGCAGTGGCTTAGGAATTTGGTGTGTGCGTCACGAAAAGCATTTCTACCAGGCTACTGCAGACTTGCATCAACAGCTGCTTTCGCTGGCTTGATAATGAAGATCAGTCAGATAGCCGGTCAGAAAGCATAAGCAACAACAATAAAAACTTTAGTGGAACGAACCAGCCAAAAACCTATCACCCAACAGATATGCAGACGAAAATGGAGATGGATTGTGGATGTACACTGAGGAGACTGTTGCGTGGTATTACGAGCCACTTCGTCGAGTGGAAAACAACGAGTTTGGCGTGGATGTGACAGTGACATGAAGGAGATCTTGTGATTAGAAAGTGTCAGTTTACGGAGAGTCGTGCAGCCAGCTAAAGGGACTATAGAGAACTGAATGAAACGGCAATGTGTTGCAATGGAGTCACATCTTCCACTCGGAATTCAAGGGAATAATGATGATAATATATATATTATTAGGAAATTTTGTGACCATATCATTAAAAGTCATTGATTGTTGATTCTTATCATGCCTGAAACCCTATCCGGTGGACTTACACTGCCGTGATTGATTCATACCAATAATCACAGGACGTATAGATTAGCGCTATTATATTATTCTAGATACTAGATAGTTGGAGGCAATCGGCAGGAAACCTTCGACCTAGGTTTCGTGCTAGTTGGCACTCACCAGTCAGCAAGGCGCATCTGCAACCTTGAAGAGGAACTCATGTCCCTTCTGAGATTCGAACCCGCGTCACCCAGTGAGTACTGCAGTCAGAGACAACGTTACCACTGGGCTATTCGGGCTTCCTGTGGCCGATTGCCTCCAACTATCTAATATCATCAAATCAATGTGCACCGTGATGGCGAGCTACCTAGAGAATGGTGGCCACATTGCAAGCCTGACTGATAGAATTCAGTCTGCACCAAAGAAAGAAGGGACTAGACACGTCACACTAGTTACTAGTGTCCAATCCTAAAATTATTCTAGATATCTCTAGCTTTATCCAGTCAAATTGTGCCGTCATTGCTGTCATTGCTTATCGAAAAGGTAGATGGCTCTACTTGCTCTCAACACATGTCACCTTCATTATATTCAGTACAGCGTCAATCTATTGTTTTGCTGTAGAGTATTCGAAACTCTCTTTCGAATAATAAGTGTAACGATATATATATAATACATTATTTGATATGTTGAAAAGAATAGTCTGGATACTCATTTATTTGTCTTCTTGGATTCTACGTTTCTTTTTTATTTTGGTGAATAATGGCCATCTAGGCATCATTGGAAGAAAAAACAAGTGCTATCCAGCAAACAGGATTTTTGTGGCTGAATTCATTTCCTTTAGCTGTACAGCCTCATTTATTGACAACGTTTTTTTTCACAAAAGATATGGTAGCAAAAGAGTTGAATTGTCGTATGCATAATTGTTAATATTAATTAACACGTTAGAGAAGTTGAATAAAGTTAACAGTCTTACACAACAAGGTAATTAATCTAATGAATGGTGATGAGTTGTAATCAGTGTATACACATAGAAATGAAAGGAATGTGATATGATGTAAAAATTCGAAAGAAGTACAAATATCCAAAGCTGTACTGGAAATCACTCAGACGCAACCAGAAATGATACAATAGGGCTGAAAGAGTTGAAAGCAACAAATAATTGGCGGTCTGCTTAAATCGCTGGGCATAAACTCATCTCCATCTTATTGTTTTTATCATTTAACTGTGTTTTTGGACCGTTTCATCCTCTATTGACAGAACAAAATGGGTGATCAACCTCTCATCAAGGGAACTAAGCTCTAGTGAGATAAAAGTACTTGAGAAGGGACTAAATTTCAATGTAACAGTTAGTAAGTTAAAACCAGAGGATGTCATTCCTAACATAGAAAGTAGCACTAGCTTCAATAGATAAGACGACAGCAGAAGAGGTTCGAGCACAATGTGCATTAACCCTGAAAAATCAAAAGAAGGCAAAATCAAGCTTAACAACATCGGAAAGAGAAGCTTTAATTAGTCTAAAACAGGATAAAAACATCGTCATTACAAAAGCTGACAAAGGAAACTCGACAGTAGTCTTGGATAAGTCTGACTATATCAAGAAAGTCACTGAACATATTGAGATGGGTCCATATGAGGAAATTAAGAAGCCCGTAGATACAATAATGAATAAGGTTAAAAAATCCACAGCGGAATTAGTACGCAGAATGAAGCCGTCACTGGGTGAGTCAAAATGGTTTAATTTAATGCCTAAAACTAATAATGCTAGTAGAATGTATGGTACTATTAAAATACATAAGCCAGGTTATCCCATAAGACCAATAGTAGATTTTAGAAATACCCCTACATATGAATTATCAAAACATTTAGCTCTAATATTATGCCCCATTAGAAATCGTTCAAATTCTAGACTAACTAATTCATATGAAATGAAAAATAAACTAAATGACATACAACTAGATAATGATGAAACAATGGTTAGTTTTGATATAACCAGTCTTTATACTAATATACCAATCAATATGGCCTTAAAAGCAGTTAAAAAGGAACTAACTACAGATGCTGAACTCAATCATAGGACAAAGCTGTCCATTGAAGAAATTATTTTAGGAATTCAGTTATGCCTCACATCTACTATATTTAAATTCCAAGGCAAAATATATAGACAAACTGAAGGTGTAGCGATGGGATCACCAATATCCCCTATCGTAGCAGATATATTTATGGATAGCTGGGAAAATATGGCACTTAATACGTTTAATCCTACTCCGAAAATATGGTGGAGATATGTGGATGACACTTTCACAGTGTTGAAAACAGAACATATCTCTAGCTTCTTGACACACATAAACTCACTAGTGGAGGGAATAAAATTCACATTTGAATCGGAAAATGAACAAGGAGAATATGCTGTGTTAGATTGTAAAATAAAACGAATAGAAGAAGGCAAACTACACACTAGTGTTTATAGAAAACCAACGCATTCTAATGGATATTTAAACTTTAATTCATCTCATCCTTTAACTGTTAAGGCAGGCTTAGTTAAGTGTTTAACAAACCGAGCAATGGCACTAAGTAGCACAAGACAAGACCTAAATGATGAAATAAAACAGATAGAAGAGGTGTTGGTGCTAAATAACTATCTTATAAAATTCATTAGGAAGATCAGTAAAGGCCAAAAACAAAATAAAAATAATTGTGAAACTAGTAATAATAGCATAAATAAGAGAGAATATAAGTCATCCACTGTTAGACCAATATAAGGAGGGGACATCTGAGACCCTCTCCACGTAGGATTCTTAATGAAGCAGGAATTAGGGTGGCATTCAAACCCACAAACTCACTCAGACAGGACAAGCTCTGTAGGCTAAAAGACCCGGTGGACCCAATTAAACAAAATAATATAATTTACAAAATACCTTATAATGACTGTGAGGTCAACTATATAGGTCAAACTAGCAGATCGAGTGTAATCAGATCGTCGGAACATAAGAATTTAGCTAAGGCAAGAATAGTTGACCCAGAGAAGATAAGTAATTTAGAAAAAAGCTCAGCAATTTCAATGCGTGCATTAACACACAACCACACAATAGCATGGTGGGAGAGGGTTAAGATTCTAAGAAGTAATCTAGGTAGGTGGAGAGAGAGGTTGATTACTGAATCTTTGTTCATCGAATCTACACCCAACACATGCGATAGGAATGACTCAATGCAAATACCAGACATATGGAAGATCAGAAGAGGATAATAAATAATTAATTCCTAGAGGAACATAGGGCTTCAGCCGTGCGTCTCCATTCCGTTCGGTTCTCTGGTAGAGTCTTCACCTTGCTCCAGGTCTGTCCACACGCCTTCATCTCCTCTTCACATGACCTCTTCCATGTGTGCAAAGTTCTATGTCGGAAACCGACCGAACGTCCTCCTTGTCACCCTTGGACGACCAACTCGCCGCTTCCCTTTCGGGTTCCACTCGAGCAATGGCTTGTCTGGTGATGTCACTTGATGGTTTGATTTCTCAGAGTATGGCCAATCCATCTCCATTTCTTCCTGCCTATTTGTTTCACAATCGGTTCCTGGTTGGTTCGCTCCCAGAGATCTCTGTTGCTGACCTTTCCTGGCCGGCCATCTGATCTTGAGTATTGAGCGAAGACAACTGTTAATGAAGGTCTGTAGTTTGTTTGAGATGCTCTTTATGACGCGCAGTGCAAGTCTCTGATCCGTAAAGTGAGTAGCACTGACTTCACATTGGAGTTGAAAATCCGGCTCTTATTTTTCATGCTGAGTGCTGTTGACCTCCACACAGACTTGAGAGTAGTGAAAGCTTGTTTTGCTTTTGCGATTCTTGCTTTGATATCCTTATCAGTTCCATCCGTCTATAGATGAAACGACGCTTCCCAGGTAGGTAAAAGTGGTTGTTTCTTTCAGGTTCCTCCCATTTATGCTGATCGTTGTCTGCTGTTGTTGTTGCTGTTGGTGGTGTTGCCCAGGAATCTTCATTACCTCTGTTGCTTCATAGAATTTCTCAATATCGTACATAAAGGCTTCGAATACGCCGTTTATAAACAGCCGAATTATTGGTTATTCGACTACCTGAAACCGGACCTCTGAGTTCATTTTCGCAGTGTTTTACTTATTTTAGTGGTGATGAGAATTAAAGTATTTTTCCCTTCATTTTTCCCCTCTTAATTGTTTAGGTTATATTGGAGCCGTATTTCAGTGGAACTCTACCAGGTTGGAGACCTCGTCGTCTTGGTGGTGGTTTAGGCGGTCGTAAAGAAGCTGGACAGTTACGATTTGGCGGTATTGCTCGTCCATTTCGACGACCTATTCTTACAAGTATTCGTCAATAAATACAAAAAAAATTGTATTTAGCGATATGAATAATTTCTTTTTTCGCAAAAATTAAATGCTTTCGAAATTCCTTTCTTGTACATATATAATTATCTACTGTTTTTTCATTTTTTTCATACTTCTCCCTTATATTTCATAAGTTTTCTTATTTCTATGATCTGAAATAGTTCGACTTGAAATGCATATTAAAAAGTAACTTCCATTCGAAATCTTCATCTCCGTGTGAGATACATTTCATGAGCAGGCATAATTTATGCCAATCATGTTGTTATTATTCGAGAGGTGAGCTAAGTAACTGACTGGTCGATGATGTTCCCTAACTTGTACTTATTAGTTACATAATGTGTGACCATTACGTAATATCATCTATGAGTAATTGACTTCACACTGAACTCAGTTGAGTCCACCGGTCATAGTTTCTCATCAGAATCTTGGTGGAGAGGGGTTGGGGGTTGGAAGCTATTTCACAGGTAATCATTATGAATTACAAGACATCCATGTTTAGCGAGTACTGAGCCACCACTCCTTGGTTTTCAGTGATTCTCTAACTGATGTCAGTTTGTGATGTAACTTGAAGTCAACCAGATCCTTCCCTCTACAAATGAACACTTGAAAATGTCCTATTTTAATGGTTCATAAGACAGACGAGAAATTCACATTCTCAGTAGCCCACGAACCAACTAATACAGCAATAAGTGTTAAAGTTATTAAGCCTTGAATTAAGTATACAAAAAGCGCTGTCATTTGGATTAACGTTTACAAGTACCTTCAACAGTTTACATTTTGCACATTTTTCCATTCCAAAACGATATAATTTAATCTTACTTTTCATACTGTTTCGATTATGACGCGTAGCATTCAGAAATTATCAGCACACTTTTGATTTCTCTTAAATGAATTGTTTCAATGTTCAGGTTTTGCTTTTCCGTCTTTAATTTCTTAACGTTTTTCTCTGCTCTGTACAACCTGTCTAGTTAAATAAACAAGGAAGTAATTACTAACAAACAAACACTTAAAACCCGATATATATTTTCAGGCAGAAAATTATACTGATGCTCGCTAGTGACTTGCTACAGGTTGGAGCTTCCTGGAGTTCTAGTGAGAAGTCGTGACCAGTGAGGTCCAATTAGAAGTCACGTGTGTGGATGGATGTCCCACCAACGACAATAGTTGGGGTCGCGCTAAAATCACGAATTGGTAGAAGTTAGAATTCAAGAGCCATTGAATCGGGTCCCAGTGGCTGAATTGTATACGAGCTTGCCTTGTAACCGGAAGGTCCTGGGTTCGAATCCCAGTGGGTGCGTACTGCCGATGATTCCCAAACTGGGATGAAACAGCAGCTGTCAAGTACTCCCTGGTTTTCAATGGTTCTCTAACTGATATCAGTCCGTGATCAACTCGTAAAACATAACTAATCCTTACAAACCAAACTAAAGAAAAGAAACAGTAATCAGTCTTTCTTTGTTCTTGATTACATAATCTTTGACTTTAACCTCTTCCCCTTTTGCTATAGTTTAATTTTGTTTGTCTTTTATTCCTATGATTAGAGTCAAACTTATCAAATTGTTACGCAATATATATTGGTTACTACCTATTGTCACCATATCCACCCACCTCTTGTCCTCATTACACCACTCCTTTACCATTGTTTCCAAGCTCTTGTTTTAATCAACGTGATCTTTCTGTGTGTGTGTATGAGTTATATAAGCGTAATTTCTCAGCACTGTTTATTAATTTTTGTGCCTCCTATTAATAACTGACATCACCTCACCTTTGCAAGTACGTTAAAATTGCTTTGTAATATAAACTCTTATTTTTTTTAATGGCTGTAAACAGCCGATGATGACGAAATAAATGATGGTTTCCGTCAAACTCTGCACACATTGTTATTTTTGCTTTATCCCTGGTTTTCCAATGGTTCTGTGATTGTTGTCAGCTCATGATGAAATCCTCCAACCAATCAAACCAGAATTCGCTACAAAAACAATACTCGAAAATTGGGAATTGTTTTTAAATGTTTTATCATACTTTAAATGAAGTCAAAGGTAGAGTAATATGTGTATATGTAGACAATTCAATAAATAAATTAGGTCAAATCTTAAAAGTTACGTAATAACTTTGTAAGCACTGTTTTTGTCCAGTTGGTGACCGCTATCAATCAAATGAGCCAAAATAGAACTTCTTATAGGTTTTATTTGACCTTTTCCGAACCAAGAAGGAAGATGCTCATTAATGCGTTTGTTAAGCTGTCTATATGGCTAACAAAGAAACACCTTGACAAACGCATTAATGAGCATCTTCCTTCTTGGTTCGGAAAAGGTCAAATAAAATCTATACGAAGTTCTATTTTCGCTCATTTGATTGATAGCGGTCACCAAGTGGACAGAAACAGTGCCTTCAAATTTATCCATCGCATTCCATGGACTGATTCCAGCGAGCTCCGATTATGATGAGGAGCGAAAGGTACTTAAACGAAGACTAGCAAAAAGTCTTCGCAACGACAAAAGCGAAAGAGATGGAAAAGGCATCGGCGATTGATAACACCAGACAACTATTCAGGCTTATCGGGGAAACAGGTGGCAAAAGGCAAATGATAAGCGAAATAATCTCGGAGAAAAATGGCACCATAATTAGCTCCCAGGATAGGCTACTGGAACGCTGGAAAGAACACTATGAGGAGCAGTCTAATTGGCCTACAGCCACACTTAACCTACCGAACATCCAACACCTCTCTGAATGGGATGTAGACACAGGTCCTCCGTCCTTAACTGAGGTTACTAAAGCTGTCACTAATCTGAAGCAAGGCAAAGCAGCGGGACCTGATGGAATGACTCCAGAGGTAGGCAGTTTACTGTCTGCATTAACTGAGGTTCTAGGCAGTGTCTGGGAATCGGAGGAAGTCCCGTTGGGTTGGTGTAAGTCACTGATCATCCCGATATACAAGAAGGGAGACAAGTCTTCCTGTGATAATCACAGAGGGATTAGCTTGATTAATATGGTATTTAAAGTTCTAGTGTCAATAATAATGCGTAGACTAAGTGGTGCTCGGGAGACACAAACACGAGAGAACCAGGCAGGCTTTAGACTATGAAGAGGGTTTATTGATCATATCTTCACCCTTCGACAAATTCTAGAACATAGGAATTCCTACCTGCGTCCAACAATCATTATATTTCTTGACCTGAAGGCTACATTCGATTCTGTCGACCGAGAGGTTCTCTGGCGATGCTTGGCTGTAAAGGGAATGCCGAGAAAATACATTGCACTGATTAAGGCACTCTACTCGAACTCATGCAACCAGGTGAGGGCTTATGGCGAGTTGTCATCTGAAGTGGTGACGACTAGTGGCGTCCGTCAAGGATGCCCATTATCCCCATTTCTATTCAACTTCATCATAGACAATCTAATGGACTTAACCCTAACACACTTCAGCGACTCAGGGATAGACTTGCTACCAGGGAATAATCTCGTCGACCTAGAATATGCGGACGATATAGTCCTTCTAGACGAGGACGCTGACAAAATGCAGAGTCTACTGAACACCTTGAGCAACAATCTTCGTATGTTTGTCATGCGATTCGCCCCTGTAAAATGTAAGATGATGCTGCAGGATTGGACTACACTGACTCCTAGATTAGAAATAGGAAGTGAAGTGGTAGAACACGTTGACCGCTACACTTATTTGGGAAGTACCATCAGCCCTAATGGGTTGATCTCAGACGAAATCTCAGCACGAATACAGAAGGTTAGTTTCGCATATGCCAGTTTACGCCGTCTCCGGCGTAGACGTGATATTCGACTATCGACCAAAGGATGGATGTACTGCTCATCAGTCCGCTCCGTCATCCTTTATGACTGTGAGACCTGACCATTGAGAGTGAAGGACATGAAAAGGCCGTCTAGCTGTCTTCGATCATAGGTGTCTGCGTTCTATCTCCCGTGTGAAATGGTATAATAAGGTGAGCAATATTGAGGTTAGGGACGGGTCGAGTGCTAGGTAAGGCGGGGAAATCAGTCGACGAGACTGTGAAATTACATCAACTGAGATGGTCAGGACATGTGTTACGTATGCCTAATCATCGCCTTCCTCGACAATGGGCAATGTTAGCTGATATGGGGCCAGGCTGGAAAAGAGCTAGTGGCGGTCAAACGAAAACATGGCACCAGTCAATGAAATCCACAACAGTTAGTCTACGCCACGTAGGAAGGTGTAGATTTCCTGACTGGTTGGGGTCCTCGGGACAGTAGAAACCAATGGTTGGAAACAATTGGTGACATGGCTCAAAATCGTTCTCAGTGGCGCAGATGCATCACTCCTTGTGACTCATGATTTCCAATGAAACTGTTTTGTTCTTCGTTATTACTATTCCTTTGTCTCACACCTCTGTTTACTGTCGATATAATGCATTTATCCTACTTTCTTGCACTCTTGCTTTGTGTGCTACAAGGAGGGAGTGTGGCGACTTGAACTGCCGCACATATGTGCAAAGTTCTATGTCGAAAACCGACCGATTCCATGGAGCCTTTCGAACGGAATTCGAATTCGCCTTTTACTCATAGCCGAAGCTATGGGAATTAATTCGAGAGAACAATCCTAGTCTTTGCATACAAAAGAAGAAGTTTGTTCTACCTTTGTCTCTCCCTTGCTTAGCCTAGGTGAATTCTATTCAAAACTTTCCCACCCTTTCTTATTTTCCGTCTCCTTCGTACTTTTATGATATTTATTTAAACTCTGATTATCTGTCCACTTCACCTTTAGTATTACGTAACTTTAAAGATTTGACCTAATTTATTTATTGAATTGTCTACATATACACATATTACTATCTTTGTTATTCTTATCGCCACCTGCACAAACCTTATTATCAATCCTTTGTGATCATAATAATCATCGTTATTAGCTACGTTCAAAACATTTACCACATTACTATTATTTAGATAAAGCAATAAGAAGACGTAATTTGTCTGAATCGTGTAATGTATTTGTATCAGACAAATT